CTCAGTTCCTCAGCAGTCACACGGGGACTTCTCTCCACTCTACGCTTCAGGTAGCGCACAGCAGTCGAAGTCAGCATCTTCTTTCTGCCACGACCAGGTAGCGTTTCAACAGTGCCCTTTGCCTTGAATTTGCGAATGATGCTTCCTAAGGTGTCTCTTGGTATGTTTAACATCTTTGCAATCTTCTTATAGCCATTGCCCTTCCTGTGAAGAGAAATCACCTCTTCTCTTGTCTTCCTGGACCATTCTCTTGCCTTCACCATGTTTGTAACCACACCAGTAAATGTCTAGAAGGAGCTGAGTATCACAGTCATTTTAAAGCTGCCTAATTGGTGCTTATTATGCTTGATTGCTGCTCGGTGACATCCACAGGTGTTTTCAATACCTGATGGAAAGCACCTGTATGAACCTCTGTTCTTCAGAGTGGTAGTCTTTAAGGGGTTGAATAATTGTGGCAATGAAGAAACCACATAAGAACCATTTACTACTGTATTACATAAACAATTGATGTCATTTTAGTTGCATTTGGGTAGTTACAACGTCCTTGTAGGATTTGATTCTGAATACAATTCCAAATGTACACTATAGTCCCTAAACCCCTTTACAGCATTGGGGGTTGAATAATTTTGGCCACAACTGTATATACAGTATGATAGATATTACAAACACACACTGTATGTAGCACCCTCCTAGTTTAGCTAGGGGGAGCTAGACACTAATGGTTATTGAGGAGCTGATTAGCAGCTCAGGTCTAACAGACTTTGCAGGTCAGCCCCTCTGGAATTTCCCCCCTGATCTGAGGCTTTTGGAGGAAGGCCTTGGAGGCGCAGTGGGTGGATTTGAGGAATGGATGGCTACACTCGAGGGACCTCAGCCAATCCCCAGCAGGCTTGCAAAGGGGCTGGGACTCCCTTAAAAGTATAAGCCTGCTCAGGAGCAAGTGAGTGGCGGTGGGAGAGGAGTGAGAAGCAGAAAGATGTGTATAGGGGGACCCAAGTTTATTGGCGACCCCCAAGGGGGTAGTGCTACTTTTTATATATACAGTTAGGCCTATATATATTTGGACACAGGCACAATTTTCATACTTTTGGCTCTGTATGCCACCAAAATAAATTAAAACAAAACAAATAATCCAAATAAATTTGAAGTGCAGACTTTCAGCTTTAATTCAAGGGGTTTAGCATAAATATCAAGTACAAATTTTAGGAACTGCAACCATTTTTTTTTTATACAGTCCCTCCATTATCAGGGGCTCAAATGTAATTAGACAAATGAATATAATCATAAATAAAATGTTCATTTTTAATATTTTGTTGAAAATCCTTTACTGGCAATGACTGCCTGAAATGTGGAACCCATGGACATTACCAAAGACTGGGTTTCCTCTTTTCTGATGCTTTGCCAGGCTCAAACTGCAGTTGTCTTCAGTTGTTCTTTGTTTGTAGGTCTTTCTGCCTTTAGTTTTGCCTTCAGCAAGTGAAATTCATGCTTAAATGGGTTGAGATCAGGTGATTGACTCGGCCATTGTAGAATATTCCCCTTCTCCTTCAAAAGCTCCTAGGTTGCTTCTGCAGTGCGTTTTGGATCATTGTCCATCTGTACTGTGAGGCATGCAGCAATCAACTTTGCTGCATTTGGCTGAATCTGGGCTGACAGTATCTCTCTAAACACTGCAGAATTCATCTGGCTGCTTCTGTCTTCTGTCATAAATAAACACCAATGACCCAGTGCCACTGGAAGCCATGCATGCCCATGCCATCACACTGCCTCCATCATATTTTACAGATGACGTGTGCTTTGGATCATGAGCTGTTCCAAGTCTTCTCCACACTTATTTCTTCCCGTCATTCTGGTACAGATTAATCTTATTTTCATCCGTCCAAAGAATGCTTTTCCAGAACTGGTCTGGCTTGTTTAGATATTTTTTGGCAAAGTCTAATCTGCTTTTCTATTCTTCAGGCTTATGAATGGTTTGCACCTTGTGGTGAAACCTCTGTATTTGCTCTCGTGAAGTCTTATCTTGATTGTAGACTTTGACGGTGATACGCCCACCTCCTGGAGTGTGACCTTCACTTGTATGGATGTTGTGAATGGGTTTTTCTTTACCAGGTAGAGGATCCTGCGATCATCCACCACTGCTGTCTTCCATGGACATCCATGCCTTTTATGTTGCTGAGCTCACCAGTGCGTTCTTTTTTCCTCAGAATGTACCAAACTGTTGATTTGGCCACTCCTAATGTTGCCGTTATCTCTCTAATGGGATTTTTTGTATTTATTTCTGGTACTCGTACAGCGCTGTCAATTTATGTAGCGCTTTACACACACACACACACACACACACACACAATACATTCATATCAGTCCCTAACCCTCAAGAGGCGTACAATCTAAGGTCCCTGGCATGTGGGAGGAAACTGGAGTAGCCAGAGGAAACCCACTCAGGCACAGGGAAAACATGCAAACTCCAGGCAGGTGGTGCTGTGGCTGAGATTCCAAATGCAAATACCACACCTAGAATCATTTCCAGACCTTATACCTGCTTTATTAATGAAGAAATAATGAAGAAGTAGCCCACACCTGGCCATCAAATAGCTTTCGGTTCAATTGTTCAATTACTTTTGATCCCTTGAAAAAAAGGGGGGGATGGCTACTCTTAAGAGCCTTAATTCCTAAATCCTTCCTCCAATTTGGATGTACATATCCTCAAATTAAACCTGAAAGTGTGCACTTTCAGTACTGCAATAAAGAAAAGAAAGCGCACCAACCTTGCGCATTACCTCAGCGATAAAAAAAATAATTTACTGAAGAATAATAGATGTGCTGTATACTCACAAACGTCACAGTTATAATAGCATATAATGTCCAAGGCTGGACCATAAAGCCAGAGTCGTGTGCGAATCCCAATTCAAGGAAGACCCTACAAAATGGCTGATGCGTTTCAAAGGGAGATCCCTTCATCTCAGAGCCAATTTGTTCAAGAGTGAGCCTCCCTTATATATATAAAAAGTTTTAAGAGACACTCCCATAGTGGGATGGGTATTGTCAACGAGGGAGGGGTGTCATGACAAACATGCTTTAACAAATTAAAATAATGACAGAATAGCTATAATAATAAATAATATAGACAGCACAGTGGCTAAATGGTTAGCACTTCCACCTGGCAGTACTAGGGTCGTTGGTTTGAATCCCAACCACGGCACCACCTGCCTGGAGTTTGCATGTTCTCCCTGTGCCTGAATAGGGTTTCCTACCGGTACTCCAGTTTCCTCCCACAACTCCAAAGACATGTTGGTAGGTAAATTGGCTCCTGTCTAAATTGGCCCTACTATGTGTATGTATGAATATAAGTTAGAGACTTTAGATTGTACGCCCCTTGAGGGTTAGGGACTGATGTGAATGTAGAATATACAGTATATGTAAAGAGCTGCGTAAATTGACAGGACCATCTAAGTACCTGAATAAATAAAATAATTAATAAAATAGCTAAACGAATACATAAATAAACATCCAGCTCATATAAAACTTTGAGAACTTCAAAGAAACATTCACAAATTCTTTGGATTAAGTGTAAAACATATGAGAGTGTGCAAGATTGTTCATACCATCTGATGAAAAAGGATTAGTGAGGAATAGAGAGGAACAATGGGAATGCTTGTCACAATTATTCAATATACAGAAACATCATGTGTGGCTGGGAGAGACACCAGTGCAATAAGTCCATCCGTGAAATTTCCTTGCTACTAAATATTCCCACGGTCAACTGTTAGGGATAGTATAACAAAGTGGAAGCGACTGGGAACAGCAGCAACTCAGCTACGAAGCGGTAGGCCATGTAAAATGATAAAATGGAGTCAGCACAAGCTTAAACACACAGAAGTCACCTACTGTCTGCAGAGTCAAAAGCTGAAGACCACCAAACTTCGTGTGGCCTTCAGATTAGCACAATAAGTGCATAGAGAGCTTCATGGAATGGGTTTCTATGGCCGAGCAGCACAATCCAAGCCTTACATCACAAAGTGCAATGCAAAGCGCCGGATGCAGTGGTTTAAAAACACGTCGCCACTGGAATCTAAAGCAGTGGAGACGAGTTCTCTGGAGTGACGAATCACGCTTCTCTGTCTGGCAATCCGATGGACGTGTCTGGGTTTGGTGGTTGCCAGGAGAACGGTACTTGCCTGACTGCATTGTGTCAAGTGTAAAGTTTGGTGGAGGGGGGGGGTTGAGGTGTGGGGTTGTTATTCAGGGGTTAGGCTTGGCCCCTTAGTTCCAGTGAAGGGAACTCTTAAGGCGTCAGCATACCAAGACATTTTGGACAATTTCATACTCCCAACTTTGTGTGAACAGTTCTGACCTCAACCCAATAGAACACCTTTGATGAATTAGCGTGGAGACTGTGAGCCAGGCCTTCTCACTCCGACATCAGTGCCTGACCTCACAAATGCGTTTCTGGAAGAGTAGTCAAACATTCCCATAGACACACTCTTAAACCTTGTGGACAGCCTTCCTAGAAGAGTTGAAGCTGTTAGAGTTGCAGAGGGCGGGCCAACTCAATATCGAGCCATATGGACTAAGACTGGGATGCCATTAAGGTTCCTGTGCGTGTAAAGGCAGGCATCCCAATACTTTTGGCAATATAGTGCGTGTGTACACACAACACACACACACACACACACACACAAAACTAAAGCACAGCTCTGTTCACTTCAGTTGCTCAGGGCTTATTCAAATCAAGGAATTTCCTGTCCTCCAAAACCCAGGGTACTGTCTTCAGAATTATGCAGAGAATACTCAATGGGAGACCACCAGCTCTACACTCATGTAGCAACATCAGCTTCAAAATCGCACTCTGGACTGTTTGAACTCCAGAACTTCACTGCTGGTTAATAGAGCTATGCATTATTTTGATAACTGTCATCACTTTTAGAGGAGGCAAATTACAGACCCACATATACCCATCAGTATCATATAAGTAGACAGAAAAATAATGAACGCAGGCATACCTGCTGAAGGATTTCCTGCATTACAGTGAAGTTGCTGAAGAAGATTCTGAGAGCATCACCAAGATGCTGCTGGACCATTTCTCTCCCTATCCGTAGACAGATGAGGGAAATAAGGTTGCTGCACTTGACACACAAAGCTAGACGTGCCTGAGGGCCATTTGGGAACCTGTTTGAGAAAAAAAAAAAAAAGTTCCGTGGATATGCCATTACACCGTAATAATACCAGCCTTCACGCCATTGCAGGTTATCATTTTCTTCAGGCCTAACATGAATAAAGTAGTTTTATAGACAATGTGTGAAGTTAAGAGTCTGTTAGGTTTGTCTGTGTCCTCACTGGTTATTCACCCCGCTATTAGTCCTGGTGACCACTGTCACAGAGAAAGTAAGGAAAAATCCAAAATGTTAGTGCTGTTCCCAAAACAAGGGGGAAGGGAATATCTTCCAATAGGGCGGGGCTTGACAAATTTGCTTTGAATGTAGGAGCCAGCTAAAAAAAAGTTAGGAACCAGTTTATTTTAACATAGCATGGGTTGTCAGCGCCTGGGACTTAACGCGATGCGATTTGCCACACAACAGACACGGCAAAACCTCACCACGTTTTAGGTGCCACTAAAAATAAACGGCACCTGAACCTGAGTTTTGTGATCAGAGATTCTGCCGCGATCCCAAAACGCCCAGGTTTAAATGGTGCTGCCCTGGCTCACACACATGCGATTCTGGATTACTTTTTAAAAAGCACAGATTTGCATGACTGGCTAAATATTTTGTGTATCTAGTGAGGTGGTTCACACAGATATGATCCACACATATTCTACTTTGAGTGCCATTATGAAAAGGGTCCTGTGCGAGTTTGAAGCCATGCATTCCAGACATGCAAGTGATAGGATAGAGTGGCATGCAAAGATAAGTGTTCACATAGGATTGTAATTGAAAGGAATTTTCCCAGCGAAGTCTATGGGGCACTATTTCCCATTGAAGTCTATATGGCGCTATTTCCCATTGAAGTCTATATGGCGCTATTTCCCATTGAAGTCTCTGGGAGGTAGTGTGTAAATGCAGGTGACAGGACACAATTTCTAGTCTCCATGGCGACCTGGTGCCTGGGATTTGTCAAGCCCTGCAATAGGGAGACATGTTGTGGAAACAACTGTCTAAAAAGCGAATTTGCCTCACTGTTTGAGAATGTTTTATTCTTTGGTCTGGGACAGGAAGTGAAAACATTTCCTCAACAGGACACAAACAGTAAAAAAATTACCTGGTGGGGTTTTAAAGTGTTACTAAACCCAGGAACCTAAACCCAGGACCCTGCATTCACTACATCTGGTCTCCCACAGTACACAAAACATGGAAATGCAATTATTTTAGTAAATATAAACTGCTAAATACCTTTTCTCATCAGCAGTATAAAGAAGTTTTGTGACTTCTATCAGTGTCCTGCTGAGCACTGGTTAAAGCTTGTAGAAGGAGTTTTCATTCTGCTCTAGGAAGATGCAGGACCCCTGACCATATGTCTGGACAGTGCTGATCACACGCACCCTCCCAAGGAAAAAAAAAAAAGCTCTGCACATGCTCAGATTGGTATGTATGGCTAGAGTGACTCTAAACTATGTTCTATCAGGAAATATTTAGGGAGCACTGAAAAAAGGGGAGGATCAGAGAAGAGAAGATCAAACATCCTTTTTTACACAATGCAGAGGATTAACCCCTTAGGTTCCACAGTGAGTATAACAAGCATGCTTTACTGACAGATGGATTTTACGGTTGTGGGTTTAATAACACTTTAGGTTTACCTTACTTTATCCATAATCAAAGGAAGATGGTGTATGGCTATACATATACTCTAAAAAAAAAAGAAAAAAAAAAAAAAACAAAAGCGCCTTTTTAATATCTGCTGGAGAGATTTCATACCATGTTTTGTTCTGATAACAACCAGCCACCAGCAGAACAACTGATAAATTCCCCAAAGGAACAATCAAGAAGTGTTTTAAGAGTGGATCTATTGGCTTTAAAAATTTATACATATGCATTCAGTACATACATACCTACATACATGCCCCCTTCTTCCTGGGATGAGTGTCCAAAAAACTTGCAACACTTGCAAAAATGTGGCAAATTCAGTGAACGTTGACAGCTGATCAGTCCTTAGAAGTAGTGGCTGCATTAGTGTTCTTTTGCAGTCTTCTTTCCCTCTCTATTATCACCTGGTAATCCTGTGAATAAAGCTAGCCGAAATTCAGCCAGTTCAGTAGGGAATGATTTAATGATCAGCTTCTGTCCAACGGGACTGTTGGAAATTTTTCCTCGATCAGTGGACTGCTGCCGATTGGCTGCAGTGCTGATCAGTGTATTCTGACTGTATGTGTGGATGGTGGAATAAGTTTGTGTTTTTTTTTTTTTTTAAATCAATGGCCAGCCTAACACTTCCTATCCCAGGATGTCTGCAATCACTTCTCCACTGTACACATGGAAGGAGCCATGATTGCCATCCAGGCTGGATTTCAAACATGACTGACTATGTTCAACTCCATTATATAAAGGATTACGGGATTCGTAGTTTACACAAATAGCAGAACACTGTTCTAGGTTCCATGCACACTAGTGTGTTTTAGAATTTTAAAAAAAAACGCTAAAAAAACTCAACGCTGATAATAGCGTTTTTATGCCAACTTGTAGTAGCGTTTTAACAGTATTTAGAAGCATTTAGGAGAATAAGCATTTTATTAGCATTTTTACAGTACATGAAGAAAAAAAAAAAGCTGAAAAAAAAGCTGTTAGGAGCGTTTTAGGGGCATTTAGCGTTTTTTTCTGCTGGAAAAATGCTCCAAAGACCTCTACACAAACTATTATTCTTTCTGCTCCTAGAAGCTGAAAAATCAATAATCGCCTATTTGTCCATGCACGTTACTTTTGGCTAACACCATTTAGCTTCTAGGAGCAGGAGAAAAAAAAAAACAGCTTCTAAGAACTTAAAAAAACAGTAGTATGCATGAAGCCTTATACTTTTAGGTCAGCACACAGGCAAAGTTATTCCAGTTCTAGCTAGATCAACAGGTATTTTATAAAACTTGCTGATTGGGGTTAGTCCTAGAAAGGTGTTAAGTGGTGTAATAATCTTTCCCAACTCATGTCGTTTTCCTTCTCAGCTCTTAGGCTCCATGTACACTGCAGCTGATAAACTCACGTTTGGGAGCTTTTCTGCGTTTTTTTCAGCAGCCCCTGAACTCTCCCTAATGTTTTCCTATGTGTCCATGTACACCATGTAGTTTACAGGCAGTTGAGTGTAGAGTCGGTTTTAAAGCACCAAACTTGCGTTCAGGAGTAGATTTTATCAGTGTTTCAAACACCAACGCTTGTAAAAGTGGCTAACCGCGTTTATAAGCGTTTGGAAATTTTTTTTAACTCTTCCATTTCCAGATGCTGTCCAGAGCCTTTTTTCATCATGAAAAATGCATGCAAAGAATTTTTCAGCTACTCAAATTGACCTGCTACACCATACTTTGAGGTTTTGCATGAAAGAAAATATGTTAGACACTGCTGCAATAATTTCTGTACAGAAATGAGCTGGAATGCATCCAAACACAACAAAAAAAAAAAAAAAAAGGAAGGACAGCTAATCTCAACAAACAATGCTCTCTGCTTCTGCTCTCTCTCAAAATGTCTGAAATAGTTAATTGTTTACTGCTTTTCAGTGCATTTTGGAAGGTCTCCTGGGGTTATCTTTAAAGAACGCTTCTAAAACGCAAACGCTCATAAACGCGGTATGCAAACATGGCTAAATAGACTTTTTTAACCTACATTTTTCAGCAGTTTCCATCATTCAGAAGTGTCCCGTGTACATGGAGCCTTACTCAGGCAGTCACTGTTGGAACACACAATATTCTGGGTTTTTTTTAAATGTAAAACACTGAACACTGTAAGATTCCTATAAAAAGGGAAGTATTAAGTATTCTCCTTCCTAGTGCTGAAAAACAGTCCAGATTACTGGGAAATGTGGCCAGACCTACAAAGCTTTATTACTAAATAATGAAGTGTTTTACTGTAGTGGTTAGTATCTGTGAACATTCTCATTTATCCAGGTCATATTATAGCTAGTGTGGATATAAATATAAATGATGCATCTAGTAGTTGAATGTCACTAGCCACCACTGGCGGTATTAATTAGCACACTTTCTAACTTTGTCTTCAGGATTTAAAATTGCATTCAATGCAATCAGAACTAAATGGTCGTGTCTTTCAATCTATGCCAAGATTACTGTAACAAGCGAAAAGTCAGAGATTACCCATTCAATGAAATCCTTTGTTCTTCACACACTGCTACTTTTCCTTACTCTGCACTCAAGCCTCCTGCTTCAATCCATTACTTCTTTTTATATCCTCCCCTAAATCCATGAGCTCTCCTTCTAACCCATATTCCGCTTTGATCACCTTCCCACCCTTTGTATAATATGTTTTCATTGGCTGTCCCCACTACAATTTCAGAAATATGTAGTTTATGCTCAAAGCAAAATCTTGATTACTGGCTAAATATCGTAGAGATATGCATCTCTGAAAGGGCAGATCGGAGATAAGTGAGCCTATTTTATAAATATGTACTACTCTCATTATTATAGGCTGTGCAACTATGTATTAATAAACACCAGGATATTGTATTTATGGCAGTGCAGGATGTTCCTGAATGGAAATGATGTTGACCTTGAGGATAAAAAGACATTTTTATGTACACAATCAGAGGATAAAGCGGAAATTAAAAAGGTAATTGTTGCTGAATAACTTCTGCTGATCAAAGCTTTATTACCGAACAAATATTTATCAAGGACTGTAAAAACCTTTGGAGTTTTCTTTCTTTGTGATCAAACAGTGTACTTTAACCACTTGCCCTCCAAAGGATTTACACCCCTTCCTGACCAGGCCTTTTTTTGCGTTACGGCGCTGCGTTACTTTAACGGATAATTGCGCGGTCATGCAACGCTACACCCAAATGAAATTTACGTCCTTTTTTTCACCACGTATTGAGCTTTCTTTCAGTGGTATTTGATCGCCTGTGCGTTTTTATTTATTGCACTATAAAAATAAAAAAAAAAGACCGACAATTTTCTTAGATATACAGAATACAACTGTATACTAACATTTTAAGTTGATCCAGGGACTATCCGATTGCCTCTCAGG